GGGTCGTGGGGTGGAGGTGATGGGGGGGACACCGTGCCCCCCAAGGGATGCGGAAGAACCCCGGCTCCACAGGAAGCATCGGGGCGGTGCCCATGGGGGGGAAACTGAGGCACGTCTGCCCCACAGCGCGGGTTGGGAGGCTGGTGTGGGGAGGGGGATGGGGGTGCAGACCCGTGTGTCCCACCCGTGGGCCCCCCTCGTGTTTCCTGCCTGTGGGGAGAGCTGCTCTCCCGCTGCCCTACGGCACCGCCCAGCCCCATGGTGCGTGGTTCTGCCCCATAGCGTGGTTCTTTTAGGGAAAGGGGGTGGCTAAGCCCCCGTGGAGTGGGGCTTTGCCCCATAGCACTCAGACCCCTGCCCCACGGCACTGTAGGGCGTGCATCCTGCCCCACGGCGCATCGGGCCACAGGATGCTACCACGCCCCATAGCTCAGCGCTCTGCAGGGTACCACCCCGCCCCACAGACTGCACATCTGGCCCCACAGCACAGCATCCTGCAGGGTACCGCCCTGCCCCACAGCACAGCGCCCCACAGACTGCACTTCTTGCCCCACAGACTGCACATCTGGCCCCATAGCACAGCATCCTGCAGGGAACCACCCTGCCCCATGGCATGGCACCCCACTGGGTGCTGCCCCATGGCACAGCACCATCTTGCCCCATGGCACAGGGTGCCACCCCATGGCACAGAACCATCCTGCCCCATGGCATGGTGTCACCCCATGGCGCAGCACCATCTTGCCCCATGGCACAAGGTGCCACCCTATGGCACAGCACCCCACAGGGCGCCACCCCACGGCACAGCACCATCCTGCCCCACGGCACAGCACCCCACAGGGTGCTGCTCCATGGCACAGCACCCCACAGGGTGTCACCCTATGGCATAGCACCCCACAGGGTGCAGCCCCACAGCACAGCACAATCCTGCCCCATGGCATAGCACCCCACAGGATGCTGCCCCATAGCACAGGGTGCCACCCCATGGCATAGCACCCTGTGGGGTATCACCCCATGGCACAGGTTACCACCCCACAGCACAGCACCATCCTTCCCCGTGGCACAAGTTGCCACCCCACGGCACAGGGTGCTGCCCCACGGCACAGCACCCCACAGGGCACCCTGCCCGCCCCACAGCCTGCCCCACGGCCACCCTTTCTGCACAGGTTCTCTCAGGGCCGCATCTACACCTACATCGGGGAGGTGGTGGTGGCGGTGAACCCCTACCGGGCGCTGGCGCTGTACGGCCCGGGGGTGGTGGAGCGCTACCGCGGCCGCGAGCTCTACGAGCGCCCGCCCCACCTCTACGCCCTGGCCGACGCCGCCTACAAGGCCATGAAACGCCGCGCCAAGGACACCTGCATCGTCATCTCGGGTAGGGACAGCGGCGGTTGTGGGGCGCGTGGGTCAGGGGGGGATGGCACCCCTCGGTTGGGTGCCCTCACCCACCCACCTCTTGCTGTCCCATCCCTGCCAGGAGAGAGCGGGGCTGGCAAGACGGAGGCCAGCAAGTACATCATGCAGTACATCGCCGCCATCACCAACCCCACCCAGCGCGCAGAGGTGGAGAGGTGGGTCCAGCCCCACGGCGTCGCGGTGGGAGGGATGGGTGGTGGGTGGCACGGACCCCCGTGGACCTGCCAGCCCTGTCTGGGGGGAGGCACATTGGGATGGGGGTCAGGGTAAGGTGACCGGGGTGCTCCATGTCTGTGGGGTGGTCCTGGAGGGTTCTGGGGTGCCCCATGTCTCTAGGGATGATGTGGGGCAACCAGGGGTGCTCCTGGAGGGATCTGGGGTGCCCCATGTCTATAGGGATGATGTGGGACAACCAGGGGTGCCCCATGCCTCTAGGGATGATGTGGAGCAACCAGGGGTGCTCCTGGCGGGTTCTGGGGTGCCCCATGTCTATAGGGATGATGTGGGGCAACCAGGGGTGCTCCTGGAGGGTTCTGAGGTGCCCCACATCTATAGGGATGATGTGGAGCAACTGGGGGTGCCCCATGTCTGTGGGGTGGTCATGGAGGGTTCTGGGGTGCCCCATGTCTCTAGGGATGATGTGGGGCAACCAGGGGTGTCCCATACCCTTGGGGTGGTCCTTGGGTACCCCATAACCCATGGAGAAGGTGTGGGGCAACCAGGGATGCCCTATGCCTGTGGGGTGGCCCTAGGGTGCCCCATGGGGTGGTGTGGGAGGACAAGGGGTGCCCCATGCCCATAGAGAAGGTATGGGGCACCCCTGGTTGCCCCATGCCTGTGGGGTGGGATTCCAGGGATGCCCCATGCCCACGGGGGTGGTGTGAGGAGCTCCGGGGACCCCATGGCCATGTGGGTGGTGGGGTGGGGATCCCAGGGTGCTGTGTCCCGTGTCATGGGTGACGCTGCAGCCGTGCCGTGCCGTGCCACCCAGGGTGA